TGCAACATAGATGAAGATAAAGTCCCTCAATCCCTATAGACAACTAGATAACTTTTTTATTTTAAATATTCGTTTCGCCGACGTGGTTCAAAAGTTGAATGAAGGTGGCAAAAATTTCACTGCCCTAGAAACGGCAGAAATCTTTATCCGACCCTGCCGGATATTAGACTAAGAAATGGTAAAAGTCTCAATACAAATAATTTTTTTTCGTTCTCGACATAAACTCCATCTCACAAACGCATATTAATGCATGTGGAAAATAATTTTCAAATTTATAAACGAGGAAAAAAGTAATTGTTATATAAAAATTATTGCGTTTAATCGGTAATATAGATTTAAAATCCCTGAATAAATTACACAAATTAAAGATTACATTTTAATCGAAATCGAAAAATTTTGAATTTATTTAGCGATCAACATAAATCACAGAGGACATATTGGAAAATTTGAGATTTTTTGTTTAATAATATTATAAAAAATTAATGTTTGATTTCTCGATAAATCTTTATTATCTATTTGGACTGGTTTTTTTGTAATTTATTTCGATTTAAATATACATATGTTTGAATATACGTATACCAAGTGAATACTAATACTTTAAAAAATTTTAAAATTAATTTCTCATACAAAAACATTTAAGACGAAAATTTCGAAAGCCACTCGGTTTATTTTGACGTAATTTTGTATATAAAGTATTTGTGTTTCATTGAAATTACTTCAGTGATTTTGAAAATTTTAAGAAAAAAACGAAATTTTTTTTTTAACTTTGGCCTCGTATCTTTAAACCGTTTCAAACACATAATCATATGAAGTTTTCGTCTTTAGTTTGTTTGAGAAATCACCCCTTAATTTTTAAAATATCTTGTATGTATAATACATATTTCGTTTCACATATACTTATATTTTTTTTTTTTCGAAGAGATTTTGTGTGTGTGTGTGTGTGTGTGTGTGTGTGTGTGTGTCTATTATATTCTGCTGGTATGTAAACTAGTTGTACAATGAGTAGAGTTATACAATGCAGTTGAGAAAGGAACAGTCAGTTTTCCTGGCAAAACATATATTTTTTTGTAAATAGGCATGAGAGAAACAATAATAAAAAAAAAGAATAAATAAAACATATACATAAAAGAATAAAAAAATACATATACTCTTCTAGATAAAAGAATTGAGATTTGATTTATGAATAGATTTTTTATTTAAATTAAAAATTAAATTAATTAGATTAAAAGTGTAGCAGGTCTGAGAATTTTGTAAAAGTATTATTATTTTGCAATTGAATTTCAAAATGCGTCACTTTAATTGAAAATTATTACAATCAAAATTCTCTAAAATTTTATTTAACTTTAATCAGTTGTAATATTGATTTGTCTGTGCTATTATAAGACTACATTTTATTTGAGAAAAGTACGATAAGAATTACCGATGCTGAATCTTCGAAATAATAAAAGATTGGCTTTTCGACACAAATTTTCAAGTGTATACTCGAAGGATCACGTTGAAACTGCCGGTTATGATCGTCCCTGTATTACATACGATATACCTTCTGTTCGCCCGTCAGTCTCGTGGGCAGAAACGGAGGCCAATTGTTGTTTGTTTGTATTTACTACGAAAGAGCACCCCGGCTGTGCCTAGAGGAGCTGCATCGACGCTATGAAAAGGGGGAGGTTGGGGATTCACTGGCATATCGTATTCTCCATTCTATAGTAGGTATATACAGTGCGTGCGGTTGGGGGGCACGAGACGTTACCAGCCTGGAAATTGAATGTCACTCGGAAAAGAAACGTCACAATATTCCGCGTGTCGGCTGGTGGAAGCTGTTTTGTAGCTTCTCATCTCGTTTCTCGTTTCGCTTCTCGAAGCTATTGTGCACGCTTCGTCACGCGACAGTTTTTACAACGAAAACAGTAATAGTAATCGAAGATGAAAAATTTAGGAATTTTTCCTTTCGAATAAGCCAATCGAATTTTTCGATTTTATTTTGCGCATTCATCATAACGCAATAAAGGACGAAAATTGCTTGTTAATATTTGAACTATATTATATAAAAATGAATTATAACTTATTATCTAAATGATAATTTTAAGTAAAAAAAATTTAATTATTAAAATATATTTATTTAAAATTGTAAAAATTCAGAGTTTTGTGATATATCATCTCTTTTTTTTTTCTTTTAATCTTACATAATTAGTAATAATAACTTATTGTTATTTTGAATTCCGAAGAAGTATTATCAGAAAACATATTGAATTGACTATTTAAGAATTGAACATCTTGCGTGACATGTGTGCAGCAACCTTGTCTAATAATATCGGCGACAGGATAGATCGGCGTGCATCTCATTGATCGAGAAATCCTTTCGGCATCTGCCAAAGTGGATCGCGATTGGCGTGAACTTTCCGTGAAAGAGCATGTCCCGTATAAATCCAATGCCCGAATGTTTGACAGAATAATTTTCACGTTAGCGGGGTGTATTATGCGTCTTTATGCTAGCGCCTGACCGTGCGCATTGTCGCCGAAATAAGCCGTATCCCACACGACAGCTCCCTGGTCTTTTATGATCGTTTCGCATGGTATACAGTGGCTCCCTAGAAACCTTGACCGTATAATAGCTGCGACCCAAAGCTGGAAATTTGTCTTCAACCTATGTGCAGGTCCGCAGTGAAAGTCTGGCGGAGTGAGCCAGGGGCGCAGAACTCCTAAAGCATGAAAGGCTATAAGCATTAAAAACTATGAAAATATAAAAGAAATGTAAAATATAAATTTGTAATTATATAATAATATTTGTTGCTAGGTGTACACTAATTATAAATGATTTTGAACTATGACACTGATTTTTGTTTACAGCAATTAAGCCCAAACGTAAACATACATACACATAACTTAAAAATACACATAGAAAAATATAAGGTAGTAAAATGTAAGCAGTAAACGAAAGGGCCAATCGCAGTAAAAAACGTAAGATCATTGCTTTAAACTAATTACACACACTTTCCGTAACAGTAATTGTAAATGTAACGTAGGTTTTCGATCGCGTTGCTCGATTCGGTTGTCTGTAATCATAACAATCGAGCAACACGATTAGTCGAAAACCTTACTTTTATTGTTACGAAAAGTGTGTGTGAGACTACTTTAATCGTGGTCTACGTGGTAGTAGTAATGGATGAGGTTGTAAGAGTAACAAATTGATCAATCACAGTTGAATACAAGAAGAATAATCAACTATTGGTCGATTTCTACTCCTTAATGAACTACTGTTATTGCTCATTGTAGATCATGCATTACATCTTCTATTGTAATTGATTCTTTTACTGTTTACGTCTTACTGCTTACATTTTTCTATGTGTTTCTCACTGTATTCATTGTACATACATAATATCAGAGAAAAATAGGACGAAAAGGAAAATTAAAATAAATTATACCGAATTAAGTATTATCTTAAAGGACGAGGATCTATTTTTAAATTCTTACAAGTTTTTCTTGAGTAAGATTTATTATAATTTATTAATTTACTTCTTATCATAATATGACACTGTTTTAGCGTCATTATAGTGGCTTTCTCATAAAGATTAAAAATAATGAAGTAAATTGAATACATTGAGACGAGTAAATTAGACTGCAGAAGATGAGTTGAAGATGACTAGAAGATCGATTATACTGGCTCTCATAATGATTTTGCATTAATCATTTAATTAATTTTTCGAACAAATTGATTGCTATTTTTTGTGCATAATATTTTTAATGTTTGTAATTTTATTGCGTAATTTTACTTTTTCTAAAGTTCTAAATTTAACTTTTTGCTTTCGGTATAGACTTACTTTTTTTCTTCAGATTCATTTTCAATCGTTCTATCCTAATTTTATAAATATAAAAATAATAATTGGTACGAAGGATTACTTGGGGCGGAGCATAATCAAGCGCCGCTTTCAAGAGATACTTGGTGTAAAGAGGGGCGATACAACAACGTCAACTACGAGGAGGCTGTACGATCGGGCCTCTCAGGTCTGTCACTCGACACCAAATCAGACAGAATCTGTCAAAAATCTGTCACCCGGCCCACAATGCAAGCCGGGTTCTCAGTTTGGGATTTTACCCACACGTTGAAATCAGACCGGATAGAAAGGGGAACGGCGAAGGGGGCAGGCAGAGGGGGTTCCTCGAAACTCGCGCATCGGTATGTAAGTAGATGGGTCCCTACCGCCTATATTTGACACCTTTCAGTCTAATAAAATAAAACCGCTCCGCGGTGGAATGTGGTCGCCGCTTCGAGACAGAAGCGTCGTTTCTCGGCTGGAGATATGGAATGTTCCTCGCGCGGAACAGTCGATCGGGGTTTCTTTCGTCTGCAAGTCGGCGATCGCTGATAAGGGTCTTCCCTTTCGTCATTTCGGATTCGAAACGATAAACCTGATTCCATGAGTCAAATCGGTGGCCTCGCGCGTCTCGTGAGACATGAAAAGTCTTCGAAATTTGTTACGAGTCTGCTCCGCGCGAAGCACCGTTCCGGCACCGATCGATCCACCGCGGATTTTAAAGAGAGACTCGACGAATGACTCGACAAAAAACTCCCGTGGCATTTATATTCGGTTCTAATCCGATAGGCATCGTTCCTCCAGATGTTTCAGATGGCAGGGACTTGTTTGTATTGAGATGCGTGGGGCAGATATATAATCTAGTCAATTTGACACCCTCATCGACGTTCTAATGGGTGCTTTCAACTCCGGACGAGCCAGTTAGATGCAGTTATCTCCTGGCAAATGCGTCCGCTTGTCTGTCGATCGCTGTCTCCGAACAATTTATGTCGTTAAGGATTTATTGATTGAAGCTTTCTTTCTAGGACGCTTTACGGAAATCTCTTTCTAAACATCTCTGTATCAAAATGTTGATATATTGAAAGTTTTACTGACTTAAGACTTATAATAATTTGATAGAACAGATTCCGACAGGAAAACTGTTTTACGTATTAATATGTTATAGAGTATGTAAAGAATATTATTGCGGAGAACTTGTAATCAAACGATATTCCGTACGTTTAAGCACATATATATTATATGTGCATATGTGTTTTACTGTAATAAAGTTTTGTACGATCATGGAAAAGAGATAAGGTTTGGAATAAAATATACATGTTTCAAGATTTTAATTCTTCTTTCTCTGGATTAGTTATCAATGCTGTTGGCACCGTATGCAACGACACTTCCATATATTTTTTTGGTAGCATAAATCTGAAAATGATAAAAACATGTGGATAAAGATATAGTAAAGAAAATAAATATGTAATATAAATGCATGAATTATCAAACGCGATAAAAATGTATTCAAAATAAGTTGAGTCCAATAAATAAACTTTAATATTTAATGCAATCATCTGATCAAAGTATACGCCTGATACAATAAAATTAAAAAGGATAATTTTTTTTACGAATCCCAGATAACCAAGCAGATTTCAAAATCGCACAAATCTGTGACTGCTTATGATGCTGGCAACTTGCCATATATTTTTTTCAATTATTTCAAATATATCGACATTGAAACAACACATTGGCAATGATATATATGTATTGCCAGCAGTTTTTTTTACGGCAAGATAAGATAGCATCAAAGTTACACCTTGCGGTGTCAGCAATATAATGGCATTGTGTGATCCTATAAATTATTATAGCAACGTAACGGCAACGGTATGAATTTTGACGATGACGATTTCAAAGTTCTAGATAAATTACTATTCAAAGTTGTGGTATTGTATATTAATTTGTAATATGCGGATACAGTTGCTACAATTTTGGTAGCATCACATAATATCATAATATGATATGAGCAACATACCATCAGCAATATAGACAAGTTGCTATCTGAAATATGTTAATATATCTTCTTTCCGTCGATTTTAGAATATAGCATATATAGTATGAATAAATAAAATGTATTCGCTTATCAATTTTGATTAAAAAGAATTAGAAGGAAATATCTTGTTTTTTTTTACTTTAAAACATATTAAATGAAAATTTATACTTCGTAATGAAGTAGGCATTTAAATACAGACCTCGTTATAAACGGTGGAAAGTAATCTCGGTCGATGTTCCTTATATCAGCAGCGCCGCAGATGAAGCTGACTGTCGTGCCGATCACCATCACGATTAAGGCCCCCAATAGCGTGTAATACATGAAGGATATCCTATACATAAAGAAAGGCTCGTCCACAGATTCGACTTGTACAGGATTCTGCGTTGTTGTGATCGTACGATTAAATAGTCCAGGCATATTCACGCAACCCTCTGTGGAGGAAGGAAGCGGTTCATAGTAGAGACTGCGATTAGCCATATGCCATTGCGCGCCGACAATGATCCAGAGCATCGTCATCATCGAAACTACTGCGCCGATCACCGCTCCCTTGGCCGTTGCCCAGGGTACTAACATCCCTAACGAGAAAAGACCCGTCATGGTACCGGCAGTGATACCGGTCAGAGTCAGGGATAGTTGAAAAATGTCGCCGAGACGGTCCATAACGAATACCATGCCCACACATAAGATGCCTAGGATTACCACCGTGACCTAAGAATGATATAAACCATTTCTGGAATCATTGTTTATTTTCGCGTGTTTATAATTTCGGAAATGAAGAGGGAAATGTACATTCTCGAATTGTTTCTATTTTTATTTGTTTAGCGAATCTCTTGCTTAACGATATTGCTTTTCAAAAAATAAAGGAGAAGCCAAGATTTCTTATTTTCCTTGCGATGTCGAACCGCAATATATTCCGTCTTTGTACCTTCATAATGTTGGCGGCTTTAGTTTCTTTGTTGCTTTCTGGCATCCAAGGATCGATGAAATCCTCGTAAATCGTGCCGGCGACTGTATTCAACCCGGCGCTCATCGTCGAGAGTCCGGCGCTCACCAGACCGGCGAGAAAGAGGCCAGGAAGTCCCGGAACGTTCGCGGCTACGTCTAGTACGTAATATGGTAATATCTTGTCGCTCCTTGCTACGACCTAAAAACAAGGTAATTTTCTTCATTGCACGAAAGGCGATTCATTTAATCCTTAATTGCTCAACTTTTTAATCTTACTTTAATTACACGATTTATTACATTTTTATGATGTGAGTATCGTTGAAGATAAGGTAAAAAAAATCTCAGGAAAGAGTTTAATTATTTATATTTATATATATAAATCTAATTAAGAAAGTTTTTTAAAATAAATTTCAAAGAAATTTCATATCTTACATTGTTCAAGAGTTAAAAAAGACATCAATTATATTAGAATATCAGAAAAAATAAAATTTTTGAAAAAATATATTGTTAGCCAAAATGTATGTACAATCTGTACTTTTGAAAAATGAGCAATTCTTTCTTTAAACATTATCTTACATTATCAAAAGCAACGAAGGTACTTGTATAATGTTCAAGTTAAGTAGAATACTTTATCAACTTTATCATTTCTGACTAAAATAAAATTAAAATAAAATTACAATCTTTTGACTTAATAGTACAGTTATTTGCTTATATTTTTTTAACTTTAGTCTAATATATTTATATCGCCTCTGCCATCTTTTCAAGTTTCAAAGCTTCGTATTTGGTATCTCACAAGTCTTATTTATGCACTTAGCGTGCAGCTTAGAATATGATAAAGACTAATAAAAAAAAACAGAATCAAAACTTACGTGTGCAGCTATAGGATCGCATTTGTGATATCTAGCGTACATTATAAGGCCGGTAAAAACGGAAATCATTTTTATGAATATTAAGCCCACAGCCAGGACCCATACCGATCTGCAAAAATGTGTGAAACACATAAAACAATACTATTTATTCTTATTTTTCTCATTCAGATTTCTATTTTTCACGGGACATAACGTCGCAATTTATTTATACTTTATCATTTATTTTAGTTTATCTTGTATTTTTAATCACTCTTATTTTTCAATTACGAAAATATTTGTTTATCGTGTAATATTTTTTACTCAAAATTTTTTTTTTATTTGAAGCTATCCAGCGTTTCAACGATGACTTACAACAAATAATTCAAGGAAAACAAATATTTTGCACTTACTTTTGTGCTTCCTCAATAGTAGGTACTGCAAGAAATCTTTGCATAGAAACCTGGCTGATGCCCAACGATGCTAGCCATGCCATTACCATTCCCACTGACATGCCCCAAAATGAATTTCTGGTGAAAGGACTAGGATCCATGCTATATGAAAGAGAATTGAAAATATTAGCCAGTTTAGATAAAAAAAAATACCAATAGTTAGAATATTAATTCATAGTTAGTATAACAATATTATATTGAAAATTAATTTTAACTATACTAAAAAATATACCGCGATATTAACGTTTAACAATAAGTTATATAATTGAAGTCATAATTGCATTCTGGGCACATTATAATTATATTTTATAATTTTACTGCAACAAGCATTAAGCAAATACATATTATATATTACTGCTACATGTCAATATTATTACTATAAAAATCTGTTATAGGAGAACGCGATGGCAAAACAATTGTAAGAAAAACTAACGCGTTAAGAAAATCCAACGCTTAAAGAGTAAAGTTTTGACACTACGTTAAATTTGATACCTAAGAGATTGAAAAATACCATTTAATATCTAAAAAATCATTTAATATCTAAAAAAACGGAAACGAATGCATTAGAACGCGAGTTGTTGACTTCTCGAGATTAGTTTGTAATCGACAAATCTGAATTAAGTACAGATTCTTGATGCAATACTCAAATTCACATAATGTTTCTTGACTTATGTTCAGTTTTAATTAATGAATGATGTATCTCTCTCTCTCTCTCTCTCTCTCTCTCTCTCTCTCTCTCTCTCTCTTTCTCTCTCTCTATTTTATTAATAAATTGTAACATAAAAAATACACCTGTTCTCTTACTTCCAAAATACAATTCTACCACCCTTTTCAGCTATCCTCCAGGTCTCGCTAACGCCGCCCACGGCAATTGTTCCCAATATCAAAACAGCAATGAGACTTCCGACAGTTACCGTCATCTGAACCGTATCCGCCCATACGACAGCCTTCAGACCTCCCTATATAAGATATATATTTTTTTTCAAAGAGAGCTTACTTGCACACAATAAAGGTATCAGTGTCAGTCACGACACGACGTGCACAGAATCAAACGATTGGGGAGTCGGTGAAACGTAAACTCAGGGGAGAGATTGTAACACAATTGCATAATAATATTACAATGCAACACTACGATATATGTATTTTATAAATCGTTTTCGGCATGAATTTCATCGTATATCAAAAGACTCATGCATCCCGTACAGTATTAATATTTTAATAATAATATCGATTTTGCAGTAGTCGTATAGTAGTCGTACAGTAGTTAGTGAATTGTATATAAACATATAATTATTCAAACTGTCTGCACAGAAAGAATTTTACCAAAATATCTAAAATTTTTAGTGTGAGACAGATATAAATAATTCTTGGATCATCAAAATAACATTTTATTTTTTTGCCATTGTCTTATTATATTGCGTTAATATATTGCGAACTTGATTTTCAATCAAGCAATATAATAAGGCAAATAGCAAAATAAATGAAATGTTATTTTGATAATTCAACAAAATGATTTTAATATTTAATCAAAATTTTAGATAATTTAGTAAACTGCTTTTTCTATTTATATGTATATTGATTAAAATAATTGTGTAGAATACTCGAGCATGACGATAATGTTGCAAAAAGTATTAACATTTTAACAACAGTTTAATAAATGTCTTACACAATTATTTTTAGAACTGTATCTATGTAAATAGTTTTTAGATTCAATAAAACCGTTTTTCCGTGTAAGCTTAGATATTGTATGAAAAAATAATCATCAGCAAATGTTAATTTTATCGCGTATAATAAGTTTACAAGAAGTTTACTCTTCTTTATTGTGAATCTTCGAAAGATATTGGAATTATCTCTTTAAAGCAGAGCGATGCACGACCTGCACTTTTCGCACACATATTATTATCCAGCATACTATTGTTCAAATAAGTACAAGACGAAGACAAATTGCTGTCAATTTCGTCATCATTGTTATTGTATATTTACAAATGACGTGGCAAAGTAGTCGTTATTTTATTGATGCGATACTGCATCATAAATAAACCACTAACCTACGAAACTGATAAGATCGTATTCAGCAGTCGTGTTCAGCAAATTCAGATAATTCCTCTCTAAATAATTGTTTATTCGATAGTCGTCGCAGCGGAATGTTTCATTTAACTAAATTGTGATAATGTCACGGCTGCAAGATGACGCGTATGAAAACACTCTCCCGGTTTCACGATCTTCTAATTATCTAGACGTGAGCTTACGATTTTTACGACCTTAGAAAATCCTCTGTTTTAATATGCGTGCAAATAAATAGATGATAACCAGGGTTGGAAAGTAACGAAGTTATATACAGTTAGAGTTATCTACTTTTTTCAATAATTGTAATTTTTTTCAGTAATTGTTAATTTCGTTCCTTTTGTTCTATCTATAATTTTTTAATAATTGTTAACTTCGTACCTTTTGTTCCATTTAACTTAATTTACATTTTTTTGGTAACTAATAACTAATTTAATAATTATTTCTATAGTTACTTTATATCAAACTTATTTGTCAGCATTAGGCTGATCAAAATATTCAGTGAAGGATCAGTGATTGTTGCATTTTGTTGCAATATATCTTTATCTCTGATCATCACATGTATCCCTAATACAATAGTGAATTTATCATTTTGACTTCAACTGTATATTAATTCATTATAAATAATGACGTATAATATATCAAATGTTTGATATAATAAAGAAAATAATTTAACAATGTTAGAAATTTTTATATTTAAAATAGCAATGCAAAAATTAACAGAAAACTAATTGTAAAAGTAACTTTCAGCCTTATTACTTTTTAAGTAACTGTAACTTAAAATATACTTTTTAGGATCGGTAACTTATAACAATAACTAATTTTTGGAAGAAAGAAAAAACTGTAATTACTTTTACAAAGTAACTTTCTCAATCCTAACAATGTCTAACTCTTCGTTTGAATACACACGAATGTCTATGTCTATTAAATATCATAAGAATGTTTCAAGGAACGTAAATCTAAAAAAATATTGAACGCTTTCACTTTCAAGACATTCAAAAAGATACATAGAATTTATGATCTTCCGATAGACCGATGAACGTTCATTACGATATGTCGCAAATTTTAATAACAATTATAATTAAAAAGTTTGTATCACTTACGATAGTCGTGTAGAAGATGCACACCATACATATCACTGGCGCAACGTAATGCAGATTCATCCCGGTCGCTTGCGAAAAGGCTAATGCCGGCACGTAGATTATCAACGGTACATAGATCACTAGCGCAAGGGTGTAGAGAAAAGACGCTAATTGTCGGACCGGCCTGGCAAATCTAATTTCCAGATACTCGAAAGTGCTCGTCAGCTGTAGCTTGTAAAATACCGGTAGGTATACGCGTACGATTAGGAAACAGCTTATGAAGGATGTGAAAATGCACGCCGCATACTGAGTTCCGTACTGATACACCTCGGAGGGAACACCAAGTAAAGACACTCCCGATATGTGACTGAAATTTTATCTTCATTAGAAATGGATCTTTTTCTTGATATTATTAATAATTTAAATATTGTAGAAATTATCCTAAAATATGTTTCAATTTATTTAAATACAATTTTTTTATCAATTTGAAATTAATTTTTCGTCGGTAAAATTTTCACCTTAAAATATCCATAATTTCTAAATGATTAGTTAGTAAAGTGGAGGGACTTTTTGCGAATTAAACTTCCATTAATAAATAATAAAATTTGATTCTTAATTTAATCAATTTCAATTCAATTTTAACAGACTAACTTGAAGCTTGATTAGGAGAATATTGTAGCCTAAATATTCTTAGTTAAGACTTTTTAAATTTTAACTCACTTATCTTTTCTTATCTAATATATTTCTCTAAATACATTTATTTTAGTTTTTTTTAGATAAAATCGTCAGAAAGCAAAAACAACATAAAGACATTTAGGCACGCCTTATATTCTGCGTTTTTGAGAAATTATTTTTATGCATATTTTTTTCTACTAATGATTGATTCTAAAATAAACAAAAAAATTGTGCAGTTAAAACATATTTGATGATTTTTCTAACTGTTTTATGAATTTGTACAAAGTTTTGAATACCTAATTTAATTTAAACAAAGTATTTTTATACACTGCGCAAATTTTATATAAGAAAATTAAACTGATCAAAAATAAAAATTATCAGACACGACGATGAAATGTGTGAAACATTTTTAAAATCACCTTGCCATCAGACTCATGCTAATCGGAAGAAAAGACATGGATTTGCCACCGAGTAAATACTCAGTGGTGTTATTCTGCTTCGTACTGAAGAAACCGAAGTAGATGCCTATGAGCATGCTGATGCCCAACAGACCGGCAAAGAGAGTATAATCGGTCCATCCGAAAGTAAGTTCCTTCAGCTCCTGGCCCACGAAAAACAGTTCCGTGCCATTGACAGTCATTCTGATTCATTAATTCAAAAGATCCACAGTTATTAACTACAGAGAATATCCGCGTTTTAAGATTATATAATTAGAAAGGATAATCGTTAGATTATCTCACATATAAAGTTCTATATAGAAAAATTACAAAAGTTAAAGGCTGAAATTATGTATTAATCTCCTATTACATATGTGCATATGTTCTAACTTAAACTGAGTTGTTAGACTGAAAATATATATTCCCAATAGTTAATATCTTAATAATACTACTATTATTAAAAAAATTCTTAATTCACTTTTCAATTTAAATAAATTATCCCATTATTTTGCATTCAAATAGAAATATAAACTTAAGGTCTGTTCTTTTTAGTTAAACTTCTTACATGTGTGTGCACAATTTATCTTTATTCTTTTTCTTTGAAATAAAAAAAAAAAAGAAAGATGAATCTTGCAAGAAATTCAGTTAAAAAGAACAGGCTTTTAGACAATCCTATTTAAAATTCTGTCTAAATTTTTTGTGGATGCTATTATCAATTATAAATTATACATACATATCGATTATTTCCTTCACACTATACAGCGATCTGAATTCTGCATTAGTATCTGGAGTAATGCACTGCGCCGAGAATAAGGCGGCTGAATTCCGAAAAATTGTTTACGCGTCCACGATTTAATCATGTATATATTGAATAATAAAATTTCACTGGAATTTGGAAAAGTACCGGATGAAATCTGCATACCCACTGCAATGATGACGTGCAATGAGAAAGCTATATGTTGGGCCGACATTCAGCGTGATGTTAGTCTGATTTACGGCACTGTAGATAAAACGCTACGAGCTATGACTTGACAAATAGACGAGAATCCTTAAATAGGCATTTGTACTTTACGCCAAAATTAATTTAATTCATCGCCGACATCGTCAATTGTTTGCCAAAAATTTGTGGACTGATCGTATATCCTTCGCGATAACACAGTGATGTAGAACGATCGCATATACAATTCCTATTGAACATGAGATACCGAAATAGAAACATAATTTATTAGAAATAATATCAATTCGTGTAATAGTTACACAATAATATCAATTTGTTGTAACAGTTATTAGATGCATCTCGAAACATATAAATATTTGTTATTGATTTATTTTTATAAATCAATAAAATTATAATTGATTTTTTTAAATGTAAATATTAAAAAAAAACAAGAATAATGATTTAACACATGTACCAGAATACGCATGTTTTATTATACATTTTTGCTTATACAGAGCGATTCTTAAAATACATATATTATATAAGAATCACGCTGTATATATAATTATATTTGCCTGCTATACTAATGTACGCCATACAACAACCATTCAGTTAACTGTTGCATCTTTTGCTGTTTCTCATTTATATTACACTCGCCCAATAATTTCTCTAAGATTTGTGTTTCATTAGATTCGAAGTCCTTTATGGGATTCAGAGAAGTGATCGTCATGCTCGGCAGAGTAACATCATAATAAAGACAAATCTGGGAGAAAATATAATTACTATTGTCATAATCATGAATGATATTAATTCACATATATAAACTTATATACAAATGAAAACCTTGTTGTTAAAAGTATTGTACACCAGGCTAGGACTAGATGTTCCCGGAATCACGCTGTAATTTCCCGTACAAAAAGCTCTGACTGGTTCCTCAAATTGAAAGCGTACACTATGTCGTTGCTGATCCAAGATATAGGTCTGACCATCCCAGGCACAAGCTATTATCTCGTCGGAATTATCGCCTGTGACATCCAGTCGACATAGAGCGAATATCTGATGATCTACCTGCATAGCCCTATAAGAAAAGAATAATGCGATATATTCGTAATTATTCAGATGTATTTAAACATCGCTGCGAAGGATTGCTTACCATAAAATAACCTCATCCTGTACTAACATGATAGTTCCATCAAGTGTTGCTAAGGCATAAGGTTTTCCCTTTGGAGCACTTTCACTGATGTCTTTATTGTTTGAATCTGTATCATCTTTTGTGATTTCTTTTTGTTGATTCGATTTACTGATATTATTGCTATTATTATTATTACTATTATTTTCATTCTTATTGTGGGAAAAATTTGTAAAAGATGGTAATAATGTTTCTTTCATAGTTTTGTTATCATATTCTCCGAGAATAACATTGCCACCGATAAAGTTGCCATCCATTTCATCAGTGCTTGAAGACTCAACGGGATTATAAAATTTAATTGAGTCTTGATTTTCTGTTGTAAAATCTCTACCACACTCGCCAGCCATATCCAGGCTATTTTTTCGAAACGCTGGTTGTGAGTAGTTTCTTTTGAACTCGAGTGATGTAGGTTTGAAGGTTTTTCTGTCTAGTTGGCTATCATCTGTGAAATTGTGCTTTGGCAACTTATCTTTAGGTATGTAACTAGACATTTTAGATTCAATGGTAGAAATAAATGGCGTTATTCCTGGTTCTAAATCTCCAATAATCTCCGTTGAAATATTTTGATTGCGCATCCTAGATATTCCTAATGTCTGATAATCTACAGCTTCGCAGGAACTTTTCTTTGATTGACAATCTTCAGGATTGCACTTAATTCGCATGAATGTGCCACCAGGTTGTGCAACCAGTAGAGTTGGCGTACCATCACCAGTATGCTAAACAAAAATTTTTGTTATCTATTTACAAACAATTTATATTATTTATATTGATAGATAATATATAATTTAATTTTATGACATAGAATAAGTTTATATAAAGTTACGAGAGATAATATAGGAATATGCAAATGATAATTAAGCTTCAGCACAACTACTATTATAAATGCCTAACCAGATAACAATATAGAAAAAAACAAATAATAATTATACAATGAAATAATAGAATCTATATTTTAATAGAATAGAATATAACTTTATTACTTTAGCTTACAACTGCCAAGAAGGAACCTTATTTCAATACAACATACTTGTAATGTAACCGTTCCTATTTGATTAGTGCATTCCCACTTATTTAGGCCAACTAATTTTCCTGTTTCCAAGTCAGCATTACTTGACCATCTGTAAGATCTCACAACACGATCCGTCAGACCAAGAATCATCTCATTAGCACCATCTTTGTCGACGTCAGCTATCAGCACTATTTTTGTATTAGTTGGGATTCTTTGTACATGTACACATTCCATTTTCCCAGAGAGTTCATTAATTTCATTAGTATTGTCAATATGCTCTGTATTTTGAGAATTTCCTGTATCTGCACATACATATCTTATGAGAGTTCCCTAAATCTCCTGTTATTTCATAAAACATATTTTTCTAAAACTCAGACTTACCAGTATTTATTTTGAAATTGTCTTGCTCATTTGTATCTTTATTATGTTGGCCTGTAAGTATGTTAGAGTTGTTAGGATTAACAGATCTGGGACTATAAAATATATGTGTCCATCCATCGCCGCAGATAACAACTAATGCATTACGTCCGTAATTAAAAATATCTCCAATTGCTACGCTAGTTATAAGACCAAGGCCAGTAATTTTCTGCCATAATTCTGATCCCTGTTATATAAGAGCAAATATTATTAATAGTTTTGAAAGGCATAATTTTAAGTAGTCATTAATATATTTACCTTGAAGATATAAAGTTCTCCTTCAGCAGTACCAACAATCAATTCATTATCACCATCGTTATCAACATCTCCTATGGTTAAGCCATGTCTGCACATAATAATTTTTATTGTAAACTATTTTTATTATAAGCTAAAATAGCAATGATTATTCTCTAAATTCTTGGAGTAGAATCTCACTTTAGAGTAAAAATTGAGTTAGTATTAAAAAAAAATGGTTCAATTTGCAATTTTTAAGGGTGAGATTTCACTCTTCAGAGTGAGATTCATTTTAAAAGTTTTAGAGGGTAAACTTTTACCTGCATACAGTACCAGGTAATTCCCACTGCAATTTCTTTACAAAACTAACAGCTCTCATGATTGGATTTTGTAGAATGTAATTGTTGCCATCGATTTGGTGGCCAAACTATATGAGTAGCTTTTGCTGTTATCAGACCTAGAGATATTGGCCCAAAAGTATTAGAGTCCATAGAATGTCCAATGTGATCTCCTTCCAACCAGCAGTGTCCTTCTGGTACCTGTATTTATATCAAAATTAATTTACAAATATTTAAAAGATAACAATACTAAATTAGTATTGTTGTCAGTAATTTGTTAGAGTTCAAGCACTGTTATTCATTGTTATATACCCAATAATTACTTCTACATATCATATCCATACTTGGACGGTACAGAGCTTGTATCCATGCGTGCTTATAATATCGCCAGCAAGTCCCACAACTCTCTTGATAAGGGTTTGATTTGGCACCTTGGGAGATACAACGCACACTATGTCGCCGCGCTGTATATCTTGATTTCGGATGGTCCAGCGATTCAGAAATACGTAATCAGGATACCGTAAATCTGGATTTAGTGCAGGTTGCATGGAGATTCCTTCCACCCTCGCGACATATCCGACTGTGTCGCAAAAAGCAATCCCGATCGGAATGCCGATTAAGACATTACGAAACAAACGTGGGATTCTCATTTATCAAACCTTTGAAGGGAAGAACATGCGAAGTGCTCTTCTGTTTTTAACGCGGTTCGGTAGTGTAAGAGATAGAGCATCACTTGCGTTGCTTATGAAACTGATCTGTTTCTAAATATCTCAAGCGTCGGCATAAGTATCACGTAACATTAATAATATGAAGTGTTTTTTATAGGTTATACAAAATTTCTCGATGTTGTAGCTAATGTTGTATTTTGTTAAAAGGACATTTTAGAATTTAAACTGAAATATTTTACGTGTACGTGGAATTTTTTTCTATTAAATTAGAAGTAAAATGAAAAAGAAAGTAAAATGAAACAGGTGAAATTTTGGAATGCATGTATGTTACTCTTTTGTCTGTATAGAACTCGTGGCAGCCATGACGTCATGAGTGGAGCAGCCATGGGAGCAGCTGTAAAATCAAAACTATCTAACCTATCAGAATCAAATCAAGTAAAAGATCTTTGAGTGTAAGATAATCTAATCTACGTAATCTAATCTACGT